CTTCTTCAGCTCCGGTGTCGGCGGGCGGTGCTGCACCCCCAGAGGGGGCGATGTCTAACGGAGTCTACGTACTACCGAGTGCGGCCAACGGAGACGTGCAGCCCGTGGTGTCCAGCACGCCTCTGGTGGACTTCTTAATGCAGTTGGAGGATTATACGCCTACGGTGGGCTTCCCGCCTGAACGAACCCACTGACCTGCTGTCACGCCAACTTCCACTCGCATCCCTGTTTTCCATCTTCTCTTGTACTTGCCCCCCACCCCCAATAGTTCTTATTTTCTCTGCCTACCTGGACTGGGAGCTTCCTGATCGGCAGGCCTGTGCTCCATTTCCCCTGCCCTCTTCGCACTCAGCCCAGCAAGGCACTGGGCTAATACTAACAGTTGTCTAATTGATTTCTCAGATACCAGATGCGGTGACTGGTTACTATCTAAACCGTGCTGGCTTTGAAGCCTCAGACCCACGCATGTGAGTAAACCCAGGGCAGGTTAGACCTTTGGGTGCTTAAGCATCTCTTCATCTTCTCATACCAGTTTTTCTTTTCTAGAATTCGGCTCATCTCCCTGGCTGCCCAGAAATTCATCTCAGATATTGCCAATGATGCCCTACAGCACTGCAAAATGAAGGGCACAGCCTCAGGCAGCTCCCGGAGCAAGAGCAAGGTGTGAACAGAGGTTCAGTGAATCGGTACCATACACCACAGTAGAGGTTTTATCCTGAAGCCTCTTTGGGGAAGCTACATCCTAGGGGAGGTATAAAGCCTACTTAGGGTCATCCACTTGGGATTGGAATTTGGGATTCCTGTGCTCAGCTGGTGCTCTTCCCTTTTCCCTCAGGACCGCAAGTATACTCTAACCATGGAGGACTTGACTCCTGCCCTCAGCGAGTATGGCATCAATGTGAAGAAGCCACACTATTTCACCTGAGCCACCCAACCCAGATGTACTTGTCTGTCCCCTTGTCCCCACACCAGCCTGTTTTCATAATAAACTTTATTGTGACAGGCAGGGCTGATCCCTCCCATGCTGGGAGACACCTGTGGCAAGTGACAAAGCTCTGAAGCCAAGCCCTTTCGGGGTCACAGAGGCTGGGAAGGGGGCAGGGGATGGGCCCCACAGCTGGGGTAGTACCATGACTGGAGGCAGGGGAGGCAGCCAAAGGCACGCTGCAGTGGGGAGGTGCACTCCCCCAACCATGTCTTGACACCTCTAAAGTTTAGGCAAGGACTTTCTAGTCCTATTTGTCCTGCATCTTCTCCAAGATAGGCACAATCATATCAAATTTGGGTCGCTTAGCAGGGTCTTCATTCATGCAAATCTTCATGAGCTTACACACATGGGGAGAAATACCCGGTGGAATGGTAGGTCGAAGTCCTTCCAGTGCCACCTGAAAATAGAAGGAAAAATGAGTAAGCCTCAGAATTTGAGTCTATCATGGGGGCAGAAGCCTCCAGCCCTTGCACAGAATTTCTGTGTTTCTGAACAAATGTGAGAAGAGCATTGCCCCACTACAATGACTGTTGTCAGCACCCCTGTTCCTCCCATACAAGTGCATAATTCTGCACTTAACTTCATTCCAATCTCCATGTTGGAGAGGTCAGCAAAGGGCACCTCTCGTGTTACCAGTTCCCACAGAAGCACTGCAAAACTCCACATGTCTGCTGAGCGTCTGTTTGTGTCTTCAGGTTTTTTCTGCAGAGCTGAAAAAAAGAGGGCTTCTCTGACCCAGCTGCCTAACCTGTCATTTTTCTGCCTTTTCTATTACTGAGCTGGTCTTTCTTTACCTTCCGCCATGATGTCCTTACCCACCTTCAGGGGCTACCCAGGCAGGTGCATACATGCGCCCAGGGCACTGGAAGGAAAACTTGACATCAGCCATGCTGATTCGGGCAGTCATGTCCTCATCAATCTGAGGAAGAGAAGATAAATGTGGAAGGAGGTGAGTGCTACTCTAGATATGGAAAAGAGCTTTTGGGGTCGAGAAACGAACTTAGGGGCTCACCATTACACTACGACTATTAAGTGCATGTCGTGGGATGAGGGGCTCTAGTGTATGTAGGAAAGCCATGCCTCTTGCCATATCCAAAGCAAACTTCACAGCTTGGCTCTGGTCCACGACAAAATCTAAGAGGAGGAAAAAGTCCAGTAGTTCAGAGCGGCTTATGTATGCCTTCTGCAGCCCTTCCCAATGAGACCACATTACTACTCACTGGTGCCTTCATGTAGTACATTGTAGAGCGAGCCGTATGGCATCCAGTGTGTGATGAGGGTAGGGTGAGGAGCAGGTGGAGACTGGCAGGCACCTAACACTGGAAGCACGTTTGGATGTGAGAAAATCCTGGGAAAGGCAAAAAGTGGCCCTGTCTCAGACCCAGGATGAAAAAGCTCCCTTCCCCGAATATTCAGGGTTTCTTGGAACCAGCAACTTTCAGTTTAGGCCTGGTCCCACCTGAGCCGGGGACACTCCTCGTTGAAGTCTCTGCTCTTCCTTGTACTCCAGTCTCGAACCTTCAGCACCTTCACAACAATGTCACTGCCCTGCCAGCGGCCCTTCCATAGCTGAAGGATAGGGTAGGGGTTAGAAGACTAAAGACACCAGTTTCTTGCCCGGTAACTGCAAGAAAAAACTTTTTACAAGGTGAAGAGCAGATAATTTGTGGGGTTTAGGATGGAATGGGCAAGAAGGACAGGGGTCACCTCTCCAGAGTGATTCTCGTTGAGCTTCGCCAAAAAGTTGAGCTGTTTGAAGTCAATGCCGGAGTGTTTGTTCAGGGTCCCATTTCCTGAGAGTGTGGGCAGGTCAGGTACCCAGCTTTGCCCTAACCCAGCCCCAGAAGCCCCATGATTATTCTCTATTACAGTCCCTCCTCCCATAGTGACTCACGGGGCCGAGTGCGGGTGGTCCCCTTCCAGAATGTATCCTTGTATGGGATACGATTGAGATTCTGGCCCATCTTCTCTGCTCGTTCTAGGGAGAAAAAAGTATTAGCCTGAGTTATGGTATGGAGGGAGGAGGTATTTGAGAAAGGGCAAGACTAGAGGACACAAGCTAGGGGTGGGGAATAGACCTCGGAGAAGCTCTCTCAGGGGTGCCTTGGCTTTGTCCACAGGCATCTCTCCATACTTGTTACAGATGCTGACTAGTGCCCCGTTAGCCACCAGGTCCTAGAATGAAAAGGTGGTTATGACAAGGGCCCCTTCTACATCCCTGGCAATCAGTCACAACCAACCATAAACGTATACAAGTGTTACATAGTAGTACCAACAATGGGCTGAAGGTTCCAAGAGTTAGGGCCAAAGTACTGACCTCTGCCACCTGGTCTTGACCCCAAAAACAGGCATAATGCAGGGGCACATTCCCATGTTCATTTACTGCATTGATGTCAGCCTTGTACTGCAACAGCTGGGCCAAAAAGAAGCAGCAGAAGACAGTCCCAAATAAGATACCAATGTCAGCATGGGACAAGGAAAAAAAGTATGCATTCTTATACTGCAGTGCCTGTGACTGACCTCACAGGTCCCACAGATGTGGGTAATGGAGGGGTTTGTGCATACCTTCTGTACAATATCACGGTGTCCATGACTGGCTGCCAGGTGCAGGGGGGTATCATCCCCACGGTTCATCACATTGATCCGGGCTCCCCGCATGATCAGCATCTCAACCACAGCAGAGCGGCCCTCTCGGCAGGCCCAGTGCAAGGGAGAGAAGCCATGATCATCCCTTTGAGAAAGGGGCAGTGGTCATTAAGGTGGAAGTAGGATGAGGCAAAGGCTCTGATTCATAAAGAACACAATGGTGTTCTCTGGGATGACTTACCTCACTAGAGCTTTAATTCTCATGCTGGTAACTCTCAAAGCTGTCCAATTAAGACCTTCCCTTGAGCTTCATACCAACCAAGATATCCTAACAATTCTTCATCTCTGTTCCTAGAACTTCCCTGCACCTCTTTTGCAATGTGTGTTCTTTGTATTCTACTCCTTTTTGTATATCTCCCTACTATAGCACTTGTTGCACTTGATTAGAAAACACTGTTAAAAGTGGACCGTTAAGACAAGCTTGCCTGTTAGACAAGCTTAAACTAAAGCAAATGTTGAGTACCCATTAATGGGGGAGGGGTATTTTGGAGAAGGCAGGTCACAACTAGAAGCGAAAAACTTACTGTTTGTCTCTGGTACAAAAACTAACATCTAAAAATGGAATGGAATTAAAATGTTTCAGAAGGGTTTATAATGAAAAGGAGAGATGAGGCCAATAATCACACAAAAAAAGATTCTCCTACTTGGCAATCCTGGAATAAAATGAGAATGGCTGGATTAGAATGAAAACTACACCTAATTTTTTTTCTTCTTTTCCCAAGGACACGTATTTTATAAAGTAAAGAAGCATACAAACAAGACAATTGGGTGGGAGCTGGGTCAGCCTGACAGCCTAGAGCCATAAAAGGAAATTCCCTACAGTCCCAGTTGCAGATGCAAGGGGCGGAGCAGGGGGGGCGGTCCATGGTTTGGGCCAGCAGCCACCGGATGCCTTAGTGCTGTGGTCACTTCCCCTTTGGGGGCTTGAGGCAGGGCCTGGAGTTGATCAGGGCCCTGGCTCCCCAGATGTCTCCTAAGCTGGAGGGAGGAAGAGGGTGTGTGTGTGTCCTCTGACATTTCCCCTCCACAGCTTGCCTTCATCTGTCCACATAAATAGCAAAAATATTCACCAGATGTTGGCATCTCTGGAAGCAGATATACGCCTGGCTTATCAGTCAATCTTGCTTTCCAAAACTTTAATTTGTGCCGACTTATCAACCTCCAGCAGTCTATTCCACAGCAGGCCCAAGCGTGAGAGCAGAAGTACGGGCACAAGTATCTGCCCATGCTCAGGTTGCCTGTCACCTGGACTTGTGTCTCAAGGAGGCCATCAGGGAATTAATCACCTCTTCATATCCAGCACATAACTAGCTTGGGGGCCCACACCCTATCCCCTCAAGCTAATCTAGTCTCACTAATGCCATCCTTTTACCATTTGGCACTGAGGAGTCTAACAAGATGCCAGTCCCATTGGCAACTTTTCCCAAGCCTCTATTTCCTCATCAATAAAATAGTAACAGTACTCAGAGTACCCTTTATTATTTTAAAAATGAACCTAATGACTGCATATTAAGGAGAAATAGCATAAGACTACAGGGAACCAGTTGCAGTCTGGACCAAGAAGACAGGTGATCCTGGCCTCTCAAACCTACAAACTAAACTATTACAACCCTAAAAGCAAAGAAGCTAAAAAAATTAAAATCTACTGTTTCAAATCACTTGCTTTGCTTGATTCCTTGTCTGAGCCAGCATTTAAAAACTTGTCCACATTTACTTTCTCTATATCCTTACCTCCCATTCACTTTTTAACCTGCCAGAAGTTTGCCACCTTGAGGGCACAGATTATATCTGATTCTGGGACTCCAGAGCATCAACACTGGTGGCTGTCCATATACTATAGTCCCTAATCAAAGGGACCCAATGTAGGCTGGTTTCTTACCCCATTAATCTGAAACAGCACTCACAGAGATTATCAAATATATCCTAATTGTAAATGCAGTGGCATCATAAAGTACTCAAGTTCTTTGACCTGTCAGCCTCTACTACTACTGACCACTCTGCAGCTTCCTTAAAAGATACATTCTCTTCTCTAAGCTTTATTCACACCTTTTCCTGTTTCAACTTCGGGTTGCTCCTTTTCAATCTGCCTGGCTTATCATCCTCTGTCCTCTTATCTTTTACTCTTTTAAGGTACTGTTTTCACATGAATGTCTTCAGATATAATGTATCAGCTAATAACTAATGTTTCCCAAATCTGTGTTCAAATCAGGTCACTCTCCTGAACTCCAAACCTGCATAATCAACAACCTATTCAACAATTTCCAAGTTGCTGTATTGTCACCAAGCTTTAACATGTCAAGAACAGAACACCTGAGCCAGGGATTTAGCTCATTTAGCTCAGTGGTTCCACCGCCTGCCTCACAAGCACAAGGTCCCAAGTTCGATCCCCGGTACAAAGAAAAAAAAAAAAAAAGAGAACACTTTATCCTTCAATTTTTTTCCACCGCAGGAAATCCAACTACAACCTTTCCATGTGCCCAAGCCAGAACCTTGGTCATCATCTTTGACCTTCCTCATTGTCCATTAATTCTTTGACTTCCTCACCGAGTCCATTAATTCTTCATCCTGAAGATTTCTGGGCCAAGAAAGGTGGTTCATGCTTGTAATCCCAGCACTCAGGAAGTTGAGGCAAGAGGACTGCCATAAGTTCAAGGCTAGCCTGAACTGCACAAGACTGACTCAAAAAAACCCAAAGATTTCTGGAATCTAATTGCTTCTTATTTTTCACCTGTCCCAATTCTGGTAAAAACAACATTTCTAAGATGGCCTGGGAAGCTCTTTTTCTTACATGCTCTGCACAAAGCATCCAAGATGATGCTTGGCAAATGGACACCCTCATCATACTACTATGCAGTTTTAAAACCTTACTCTTAGAAGCATGAACTGGGTGACCCTTACATACCTCTCCAGGCTTAGGTCCTGTTCTTTTCCACTTGGACCCAATGCTCCAGCCCATAGAGATTTATCCCCTAGCAGCATGGAACGCCCGAAAATTTCCTGACACTTTTCAGTATGTCTTGCTTCCCAACCTTTGCGCATACAGTTCATTGAGGCCGGGAAGCTCTTTGCAACCTCTGCTTGTGAAACTTTAATTTAGAGTCAAGTTTCAGCGCGAACACTGCTCTGTGGAGACCCTTTGCACCCGGCAGGCCGGGTTTAGCACTCATCACTCTGGATGGCAACCTAACGTGAGCACCCACGTAGCGTGGGGAAGACCTCTAGCTTCTCTCTCACATCCACCAGCTGCTTCATGCTTCAGCTCACCCCTGGTTGAGGTCGTTCTCCGTGTTGTCCAGCCACAGACGCACAGCAACAGCGTTGCCCTCCCGGCACTGGGTAAAAATGTCGTCCATAGCAGAGTCCCGGCGCGGAGTCCCCGGGACTGGTGAAGCCTGAGGACTGTGGAGCATAGGGTGATCTAGGGAGGAGGAACGAGCCCCAACTTTGTCCCCTACAGGATAGTCGCGTTTCTGTTGCAGGGGGGTGGGCGTTGCATCCCCTGCTAGTGGTGGTCTGCGAAGGTGTTTGGGGCAGTGGGATGATTCCCTGGGCGCCGAGAAAGACGGTCCCAGCAGGTTTGGGGTGATTACGAGGTAGTATCTACAGAACCGACAAAAGAGAGCGGCTCGGAGACCCAATCCGCAGATAGCCTGGGGGGAGGGGGTGGCTCGGGCTCCGTAAACCTAGGGGAAGTAGGTAGGGGTCCTTCCCGAGAGCTGCGCCCGTTCCCTACTTAGAGCTCAGGCAGAGAGAGTGACGGGTTGGCCCAGCCCGAGTTTAGGGCAAGGGGCGCGGGTCTTCCTCACTTACCGGGATTCGGGACGGGCTGGAGGCGCTTCTCCGGGATAGCCTGGGGGGAGGGGGTGGCTCGGGCTCCGTAAACCTAGGGGAAGTAGGTAGGGGTCCTTCCCGAGAGCTGCGCCCGTTCCCTACTTAGAGCTCAGGCAGAGAGAGTGACGGGTTGGCCCAGCCCGAGTTTAGGGCAAGGGGCGCGGGTCTTCCTCACTTACCGGGATTCGGGACGGGCTGGAGGCGCTTCTCCGGGCTCCGAGACCTCCTCCCTTGCCCTTCTAGCCCACTAGTGTCTACACTCGATGGTTTTTCTGAGCCGAGCCGGCCGCTCTAGCCGCCAGCAGCTTTTACTTTTGGTTTCCTGCTGCTAGCAAGCAAGTGTGTGGCTGCGTTGGGTAGAGGGAGTCGGCTCTCAGCACGTGCAGAGAACCTTAGTTTTTGCAACCCGACCTCGCGACCCGCATGTTCGAGGAGCCTGAGTGGGCCGAGGCGGCCCCAGTAGTCGCGGGCCTCAGTCCCGCCACCTCAGGGCCTCGGCCTGCGGCAGCCGCGCAGATCAAGGTGAGTGGACTGGTAGCGGCCTGCAATGGGCGCTGTTTCAGGCCGCGAATCAATCAGACCCAGGTGGAACCCAGCGCTGGGAAACTCCTTGGGTGTGTGCTGGGGCTAGGGGCACAGGCGGCCCGTCGCGGGCGAGTCCTAATCACCAGATCTGAGAACTCCCGAAAGAAAATGGCATTGGAGCTGAAATCGTTGTTGAGCAGAAGTTGGTGCAGAGAAGAGTGTTCCTTGGGCAGAAAAAGTTCCATCTGACAAACATTCATAAGTGACCTGTGAGCCAGAGCACGGAGTAAATGAGGGGGGATGCTATTGAAATTGAAGAAGTAGATTGGAAGATACGCATATTTTGAGGCTAGAAGTAAATGAAGTGCTTCTGGCAATGGAGTGATTTCTTCAGGCCGCTCCTACCCTGGCCCATTTTTGTTGTTAGGTATCAAATTCAAGGCCTCTGTCAGGTATGCTGGGTAGGTGTTCTGCCACGAGCTACACTCCCAGGCTTGGGAAGATTTTTCATTGTCATCTGGAGAATAGATTGGTAGGAGAAAGAGTGAGTGATTAGGGAGGCATCATCAATATTCTATTCAAGAAAGGTTGGGAAAACTGGGAAACTCTGAGATAAGTTCCACATCTAGGTTTTAATCTCTAATTATGCCCTCTCACTATACACCTTTTTCTTTTAGCTTTAGCAGATATGAGGCCTGGTCTACTTCCTCATGCTTTGCTTACCTTTAGTCAGCCTGCAACATTAGCGCATGCCTGCTTTGTCTCCCCCTTTTCATCCCTGCAGCCCATCATCATAATCCAGGCCACTTGTCTCTGTGTGCAGCTTCTTCCCTTCAAGTTGTTGTAGCTGGAAACATAGCTGGAGACATTTGACCTGTTCAGGGTGGGGCAGTAATTCCTGTGTCTTACTCCCTGGAGACTTGAACCACCTGTGGTACATATATGACTGCCTCATCAGGCGGCTTTTTATTAAATGTCTTAGCAATCCCATAAAAGTGATTAGATCCATGTGTACCACCAGTGATATGAGCAGCCTGATGGGACATTTATGCATATACCACTGGTGGTTCAAGCTGATGGGAAGGTGTCCATACATCCATGTGATCCTGTTTCTCCTGTATTCGGGAAACCTCCATACCTGTCATAGAAGCAAAATCCTGGAATGGAGAGTTGGACTCCTGACCTCACCTTAGCCCTGTTATGTGTGGCCTTAGCACATTTTCTCTCAAGAAGCTCCATTGCTAATCACTTACACATTGAATGAAGTCGGGTGGGAGGGTGGGTGATTTTTCTGCCCTTTAGCCTCCTAGAGATTGAGATGGCAACTTGAAAATTCTTCTGGATCTAGCAGGCTTCTCAAGCTAGTTAAGTTGACTAGGAAGAGCTCAAATGGCTCTGCCAGTATCTGAACCAGGTCCCCATCTCTCCCTAATTCTCCAGACCTCATCCATTCTCTTTGTCGACCCTTGTTTTCCTCCAGGGCTCCAGGCACCGCCAACTCTTGGCCACCTTAAGGGTTCTGGAAGCAGCATCTCTTTCCCAGCAGTCCACCAGCCTACCTGGCAGTGACTCTGAGGAGGAAGTAGAAAGAAAGAAGAAACGTCCTAAAAAGTCCTCATCTTCTAGTACCTCTGCCAAAGTAGGAGAAAAAAGGAAAGAATGTCAAAAACTGGGCCTACCTCAAGATGACTGTGAGGACCACCAAATAGAAAAGAAGAAGTGCTGCAAACAAGCTCTTCTGAGTAATGACTCTGCCAAAGAAGAGAAAAGAAAGAGGAAATGCCAGAAAGAGGCCCTTTCAAACTCAGCCCAGCACGTAGACAATGTCGACCAAACAGGTATCAAAGGATATGTATGTATATGTGTGGGAGTGTCTGCTGGTTGTACATACAATAGAGGTTTCCTGCCATAATTAGGATTGGGGAGGCAATGAGAAGTATCTAGGCTGAAGTCTGTCTCAAGGACAAAGGTATGGCCACCAAGGCTTGCCCAGCCTCTGAATTTGGGAATCCTGCCTCAAATAACACTTTCCCATCTCCCTCCCTACAGATCACAAATCCCAGAAGAGTAGTAATACAAATGTTTCACCCAAGCCAAGCCCTGGGTCCAGTTCCCCTAAGCCCCTCAGTACCTTGACCCGCAAACAGTGGCGGAACCGGCAGAAGAACAAGCGGAGACACAAGAACAAATTTCGACCACTTCAGGCACCAGACAAGATTTCTGCTGAGGCCTCCAAGGCCTCCACAGAGGAGTCAGAGGTGCATCCTACCCTCAAACCAGACAACCACGAGGCTCGGGCAGCAGCCCTGCGAGCCCGCATGTCGCAGAGGCTGGATGGGGCCCGATTTCGCTACCTCAATGAGCAGCTGTACTCAGGGCCCAGCAGTGCTGCACAACGCCTCTTCCAGGAAGACCCTGAGGCTTTTCTCCTCTACCATCGTGGCTTCCAGAGCCAGGTGAAGAAGTGGCCACTGCAACCAGTAGACCGCATTGCCAGGGATCTTCGGCAGCGGTAAATGGGGGGCTGGGCACTATGAGAAGCACTGTGGGTCACTGAGGGACTCAGACCCCACCAGTGTGTGATCCTTCCCTTCCACTCCCAGGCCTTCATCTCTTGTAGTGGCTGACTTTGGCTGCGGGGATTGCCGCCTAGCTTCAAGTATCCGGAACCCTGTACACTGCTTTGACTTGGCCTCATTGGACCCCAGGGTCACTGTATGTGACATGGCCCAGGTAGATCCCTCTGTATCTGGTCTGTGCTCTAGCCCTTCTTCCCCTCCCTTCTCATCCCGGTATCTAACCCTAGCATTGAGTGCCAGATTTCCCCTTCTGGTGCTGTGTGCCTCATTCCACACTCCCACACTTTACACAGGTGCCTCTGGAGGATGAATGTGTGGATGTGGCTGTGTTTTGTCTTTCACTGATGGGAACCAACATCAGGGACTTTCTGGAGGAGGCAAATCGAGTACTGAAGCCAGGGTAGGAGCTCTCAGGACACAAATGCATGTGTATGTGTGTACACGTGTCTGTCTCCTTACATAGAACTTCCTACCTTTTTCAGGGGTCTCCTGAAAGTGGCTGAGGTCAGCAGCCGCTTTAAGGATATTCGGAACTTTCTGAGGGCTGTGACCAAGCTGGGCTTCAAGGTCATCTCCAAGGTAAGAGCTTCAGGAAATCTGTCCCTGTTGTTGTCTCATTTGTGGCCCCTTTCAGAATAATTGTGTTCAGGAAGAAGGCCACAGGCACAGGAACAGATTGCACCCCAAAGACACACTACGGGGAGACTTAGGAAGCTCTCTGACAAGGGGAAGGTCATGAAGAGAAGTGTTTTGAAGGGGTGGGGTGAGTATTTGTAGCTCATTGAGTCTTTTCTGCCCCTAGGACCTGACCAACAGCCACTTCTTCTTATTTGATTTTGAAAAGACAGGCCCCTCTCAGGTAGGGCTCAAGGCTCAACTTGCCGGCCTGAAACTTCAACCATGTCTCTACAAGCGAAGGTGACCTCTAAACATGCCTTGGAAGGGGAGGCAGGGCCCAGGCTCCAGGCTGAAAACTCTGAAGACTGTACCTTCTCTGAAGACTGTCTACCAGGCTGTGAGTCAGGACCTGGTACTACCTTCTTCCCTCTGTCCCCAGAACAAGGTGTGATGAAACCCCTGGCTCAGCTGTGCTCCACTGAAGGATTCTCAGTTCAGAAAAAGCCTAAAGTCACTTGAGCAACCGAAGGAGTAATAAGAAATGATGATAACTGGGAATCATGGATCACCTAAAATATCTTAAAAGCCAGATGGTTTGGGATTGAAGGGTCTTTGGGTTTGGCTCCTCTTTGCATCTCTCAGAAGACACCTGGGCTTTTTGTCTTGGCCTCTCTGCTCTCCTTTTGTCTGATCTATACTGTCCAAGCTCTGCTCACCTATAGCTTCTGCTCCTTCAGGTTCATGCTACCCCGGCCTTTAAGCTCTTGCTTCTTGGTGGTTTTAATCCTAACCTTCCCCGCTACAGCTGAAAGCTGTTTAATATCCTCATTTGGAAAATCATAGAATTCCTGTGTGTTATCTAAGGAAATCTATAGTTAGGGCTGGGAACATAGGAGGTGCTCAATAAATAGCTATGAATATTATGTGCTGTAACCCTTATTGTTCTTTGAAGACTCCATGGACCAGGTTGGAGGTTGAAGGACAAATGAATTTCTTAACTGGGAGAGTTCAAGATAGGCCTTTCAAAAGGCTTGTGCAGTACTGTATTTAGAAACTCTTAATGGATTCCAAGCTTTCCTTGGAGGAGGGTGATAGTGAGGGAACAGGATTTTTGTTCATAAACAACTGGTTGATGCCATTTTGGGGTGGGAGATTGGGCTGCTCATTGGCAAAGTGGTTTGTCCATTATTTCTGCTTTGTAATAGGCCCAGATCAGCATGTCCTGAGAAAGCTATAGCAACTAAAGCTGGTGCTAGAGGAAGATGAATAAGAATGACAGATCCCAGGCCTCCCTCAGAAGAGCTGCTATAGACTTGTTACAAAGATACAGCCTCTTCTACCTATTCCCAAGAAAAAGACCTGAGAGTGCCCACTGGGAAGACATAGGTTCCCAGGCTTTGACACAGTTGGGTGCCTCCAGTAAAGACAGGGAGATTCTGAAACAGGTTGTAGGCTGGAGGTATATGTGGAGGTTGGGCTATGAGCCATTCAGCTAACACTACACAGTGCCCCTGCATGTGCTCCTCTTTGCTGAGTACTTGTCTGGCTAGCAAAGTTAGTCACATCTTCCTAAACATTCTGGTGGTTTTGTACTCCTCTCTTCCAAAAGCAGAATTAATTCTTCATTTGTGTTTGCAAAGTATTAATGTGAAGAGTACTCCTTTAGCATTTAAATGTTATGTTGTGTTTGCTTAGTAGATTTGGCTAGTCTTCTGAAATTGCGTTTACCTTTGTATCCCTGGAGCTTGTCACTTGAGGTACAGCCAGTGCATTCATTTTCCTAGGGAGGAATAAGAAATGACAGGGTCTGGTTAAGTGGAGTTGATGAGAGCAGCAGTGCGGCAGAAACCCATGTTTGAGGCATATGTTGAGGCTGCTGTGGACTACATCAGGTTGAATTGGTGGAATGTTGGAGGTAGTTAAAAGAATCTGAAGTAAGTCCTAGGTTTCTGGCTTGAGCATCTGATTGGGCTGGTGGTGCCACTCCAAGTGTTGGGCTTTAGGTCCTTGTTAGATGTTCTTGAAGTGGGACAAGATGGGGACAATAGTATATGCTTTTAAGTCCCACCTACTCAGGAGGCTGAGGTTGAAGGATTACTGGAGCCCAAGAGTGCAAGGTCAGCATGGGCAACATAGTGAGGCCTCTGTCTAGAAGAAGGGAGGAAGGGGAAAGGAAGAAAGGAAGCAAGCGCGCAACTGACTTATGAAATCTGTGCTGGATACTCAGGGATTTAACTAGAGGTGGGAAAGTCATAGGAATAGATAAGATATTGGCGATTAGATAATGAGAAAAGATGGCTCAGAAGAGAACTCTCAGAATGAACCAGTAAAGGTGACGGAAGATAAGCAGGTTGAACCATAGAGGAGTACAACAAGGACAATAGCTTTTTTAATATGGGAGGAATAGGTGCATTGCCAGCTCTCCGATGCTGTTAAGAGGCCTAAAAGTGACAGAAGTCAGGTTGCAGTGAGGTAAGATTTGCTGAGTGATGTTGAGGGCCTTTCTGAATTTATAACGCTGTTATTCATAGGTAGCTATACCAACCTATCCTATGATGTAGTCATTCCTACTTACCCAAGAATCTAGGTGTAACTGGAAGATGTTCATAACTCTGAGAGGTGAGTACCAAAGGATCATCCAGAGTTCATTTCCTGAAGTGAAAAGACAGTGAGCCGAGGAGTTCAGGCTATTAGCACGTAAATGGTGGTCATGCTGGATTGTGAAGTTTAGTAGAACATGCAGGAGAGTGAAGATAAATGTAGGGTGTTAGATGGGAATAACTAACAAGTGACCTGGAGGATAGGAGGCTGTGCTTAGAAATCAGAATGTTTGCATTACTAATTTGAAAACCGAGCAACTTTAGGTGCTGGCAGAGTGTAGGGTGTGGGCACAGGGCTGAGTGCTTGGGAGACTCCAAGGGAGGTCGCCTGGAGACTGGTTAATGAACTGAGGGATCAGGTGTTGGGAGGGGTTGTCTGCACGGATTTTGAAGCTCTCTAGGATAATTGTTAAAGTTGATGGTGGAATGGGTACCAGCACCATGAGAGTGGTGGAGGATAGAGAAGGACACCTAGACATAGGGAGGAAGCAGCGTGGCGCATAACTCAGAAGTGCCTAGCAGACAGGCTTCCGGGTTAGGGTGCGGTGAGGCAGGTGAGTGGAGCTGGCTGCCAAGCAGCCGACATGCAATGCCCTGATAGTCCTCTCTAGCCTGTCAGATTCTCGGACTTACTGGGGCAGCTCCCTGAGGCAGGAGCTTCCTAGGATAATTGAATGGGAGGCAAGCCATAAAGCCTAAGGAAAGTATCTTACTATAGGACACACAGCACCTTTTATAGCTCTGTATTTGTATCCCCCTCCCCCGGTGTTACTTGCATTCCTAAATCTGAAATATTTTATGTTTGCTTATCGTGCTCAGCAAGACAGCTGAGGTCAGCTTTCCTCTTTTGCTTTTTCTTCCTCACTTATAATTTGGATTCTCAGTTTGCCTGCCACGACCACTCCAGTGGAGTCTGCGTGACAATGCCGGTCACCTGGCAGAAACCAGACCCGAGGTATCGTCCCCACGGGGTTAAGCCTCCTGGAAGTCCTTGGCACACACCGCATGCGAAGTCAGCCGTGAAGAGAATAGCTGGCCTCTCTGCCTGCAGTCTGGGGACATTGGGTTCATTTATAATTCTGTTCTATTTTGTCTTTATTACTATTTGTTCATTATCTGTAGAATTGTATTCTGGGCCCAGGAAAGGTTAGGAACAATTAGATGTTCCTAGAGATGGGGAGGTGTTGGGGCACAAGAGACGGGCGGCCAAAGTGCTGACCCTGAGCCCCGGACTGTGAAGTCCTGAAGGTGATCCTGAAGGTGACATGCTGAAGCCAGTCCTTTGTTTTACAAACTTCCCCTTCTGACTGCGTATAGGTGTGGTCTTACCTTGATTTAATGGTCTTAGCTTTTGTGATAGTATATAGGTGTGGTCTTACCTTGACATTGTGGTCTTAGTTTTTACAGTACTATTGTCTATCTTTCTCATGCCTGCCTGTGACTGAAATCACTCTTGAGGTGTGCCCTTGAAACTAGTATATAAACACCTAGAGTTAGAAATAAAATTGCAGCAGCTACTACCTTCACTGCTCAGTGCTGTGTGGTTTCTGACTGTCACCGCCGAACCTGCTCCCACCTTTCTGAAGATCCCTGTTCTCCACGTGAAATCCAGTCTTTGCTCCCCTACGGTTGGTAGCATTTGCCCATTGTGACCTCCAGCCTCCTGAATAAACATCTCTGGATCTGACTCTGTCCCCAGTTTCTTGTCTCAGCCAGCCCCCATCAGTAAACCCTGATTCTGAAGGTAGGACATTTCTTACCCTGATATGGGTCCTCCCTCCTCTATCACCAGTTTAAGACTGTATTTGCGCTTCAGTGTCTCATGTTGGGAGTCTGAACTGAAGAGGGAACGACACATATTTCCTTAAGAAATAACAGCCTACTGTTCAAGGAACAGGAAACCCATGTGATTAAAACCAGTTGAAGGATGGACAAGACTAGGAGGTAAATTGGAATGGGAGGAAGTTGTGGGATTGTGAAAATGCAATAGCTCTCAAACTTTTTCAGTGCATTGGAAACACCAGGACTTATAATGTAGATTTCTAAACCCTCCCCCAGGGTTTCTGTCACTTCGTGGGGATAAGGTCCCAGAAGTTCTTTTCTTTTTTGTTTTTTTGTTTTGTTTTCGAGACAGGGTCTCACTATGTAGTTGAGGCTGACCTGGAACTCACTATGTAGCCCAGGCTGGTCTTGAACTCACAGTGATCCTCCTGCCTCAGCCTCCCGAGTGCTGGGATTACAGGTGTGCACCCCAACGCCTGGCCTTCTAGAAGTTCTTTTCTGGTTGCTTTTATTTTCTCAGTGAAGCAGGAAGCAGATTTGTCAATTGTGAGAATGGAGAGATGCGGTTGAGTTTGGGAGAAAGGAGAAAGTGAATATCATTTGTAGGAGAGTGAAAGGGAATGAACGAAGGAACTAGGGAACACAATATGAGTACGGGCACCATTGATAGCACACTCGCCGCTCATACATGGGATGGGTGGGAGGAGACTGGTGCAAGAATACTTTGCAGAGACCTTGTTACTCTCAGTGTGCAGCTCGTCTGTTAAACCCAACCCCTCTGAGGGCGGCAGCTCTCTTAGCTCAAGCCTAGTTAGGAACGCTCCGCTGGGACAGTGCAGCGTGAGATACTGTACAGTTGAGAATGGTGAGAATGGAGTCTGACTCTTGCACTGGAAATGCACAGGGCCAGCAAAGGTTCACTAACTGTCTCAGTAGTGGGACCAGGGCAGGGCTGCTCCTGTGCCATTGGGTTGCAATCCCAAAATTTGCCCCGGCAAATGATGTTTGCAGGTTTCCTCTGTGCCACTTGTAGAAGAGAAGGAAGTATAGGCTGGTCTTGGGTCCTACCCAGAAGGACCATTTTTTAAAAATTTATTTATTTATGTATTCAGGTTTTGGAACTGAGGAATGAACCAGGGCTTTCACACCGAGTGTACTCCCATCCCTTTTTTATTTTTTCTTTGGAGACTGGGTCTCGCTAAGATTGGGTTTGAACTCATGATCCTCCTGTCCTCGCCTCCGGAGTGCTGGAATTATAAATGTGCACCATCATACCCAGCCTAGCAGGACCTTTTTGAAGAACCAAGGAGACCTCAGCACAAAGCAGCTACGAGTGTGCCATGTTAGCTGAGGAGGGAGTTGTAAGGGACCACCCCAAATGAAGCCTTACTCACCAGCATAGCCAGGGAAGAGCAGGGATTGCCCCTTTAAATATCTGCGAGGCCTGTAAGGCACAGAACTGCCCAGTCAATGTAGACTGTTTTACTGCTTTACCTCTCCTCTCCCTCAGTACTTGGCCACAGAGAAATCAGCAGCAATGAGGTGGATAGAAGTAGGGAGGGCAAAGAGCATTCCCTCTTTATCCAAAGCAGAAAACTTGACTTAGGAAGGGTAGAGTTAGAAGCTCAAAAGATTGAAAGTTACTGTGCAGATTATTGGTAAACAGAATTAGACATTCTAATGACCTGAGATTGTGTTTGTCTGGAGATGTCACAGGCTTGCTGCAGCTTTTTCCCAATAGGGAAAGAGTATAATATGAATAAATTTTTCAGGGGGGTGCAAGACAGGAACAGAGTTGGGTTTGGGTGTCAGTCTATACCTTGTGCTTGTTGAGCATCTCTTTTAGAGTCTGCAGGTACACAGTTCGTCCTGTAGTTACTGGTCTGCTCTTTTGTTCCAGTAATACGGTCCTAAAGGAACACATTTCCAAAAGATACAGCACACTCTTGGCAGATACAGCTCAGCTCCAAACGCTCACCAGTTACGTAATGGCACAGAAGCATTGGTAGCTTTGCTCTGACAAACTAGTAATTAGAGCCTTTCATTTCCAGGTCATCCTCCTTCTCAGGTGACTTCTCTGACCAGCCACCTGGTTCTAGGACATTTGACTATTGAAGTAACTATCTTACTTAAGGCCTGATTGCTTCTGTTCTCCAAAGTAACTTATTTTTCCCACAGCCAAGTGATTTTTTTAAAAAATGTAAATCAGATTATGCAACCTCTGTGTAAAAATCCTTCAATGGATTCTCAGTGCACCAAGCACAAAAGACAGACTCCTTCCCAGGCCCTGTACAATCTTGCCCAGGCTTTGCTTTCCAACTGAGTCTTAACCCATGCTTCCCCTTTCTCAGAATTTGGACCACACAAGCTTTCTATGTATTTCTCACACATCCCAAGCCTGCTTTCTGCGGGTCTATTACATGCTGCTCTGTCTTGCTAGAATATGCTTTTCCTGATTAACTTATTTTCATCTTCCAGTTCTCCACACTAACAGCACTTTCTTTTCTGTAGAAGAAACCCATTAGTTGCTCACCAAAATGTACTCTTGTAGACACTCGGGTGAACTACATGTCCTAGTTCCATGCATCTAGGCAGGGCTGTGTGAGTAGATCTCATAAATGAAGTCATAATACTAGACAAAGGCAGCTAAAGGGTAGATGAGTGTTTTCTATATTCATCCATTCCCAAGGTGACCTTGAAGCACATGTTTTAATAGTAACATTCATGACATAGAAGTTTGGATGCATGAATTATACTGTAGAAGAGCTGCTTGCCCAGGAACATCTATATTGGACTTTGAACAAGAACTAAACCTCTACCTTTTACATTAAACTAAAGGAGTTTGGGGGTGTTATAGCAGTTACCGTTACATAT